GAATACTACTTACTCTGGCCATAACCACACAATCAGATTCTGATTATCCAACATAAGTATTTTTGCACCATTACTACTACACTCTTTTGGTTAATAATTGGTTGATAAGCGCGCATATCACTTTCCCCATAGTGCTTTCTGACTTGCTCTACGTGGTTGCCTGTGTTCCACTATATTTCATTCGATAATTGCTTCAAAATGTATTATGTCACCCAGGAGGTGTCTTCGAAGAGATAGTCAACAAAACTGCCCCTTCAATCGCTTCTGAATTTGGAGTGGATATCATGGAACCATCAACCAGTGGAAATGGTAAGTAACAGATTTCCTTGTCTTGTCATTGTTTTCCCCCCAGTGGTTTGATGACACTTGTCACGATTGGTGATCCCATCACTTGTGTTCTAATGAGACCCTTTTATCGCTTTCTTGTGCACAATAATTTCACACTACGCCATTAGACTCAATTAAGGCACGTCATCACCTATGTTTTTAAAGCTGCATGCCATCACAAGTCTCTTTCAGTACTATACGAGCATCGGGCCGTGCTCATTCAAACCATTCCAAATTAGTCTGTGTAGATGGGAATATAGCGGAAAACGTTTCTGGACTCGTTGAGTCTCATTTCACACGAACGTAGCGGGTAATTCTAAAATAAACTGTCAGACCACAGGACACCGTAGTTGGGTTTAAATCGGAACGGCTCTTCAGGCTGCTTTTATAGAACTAGTTATCTACATTCCAATCGATCAATCAGGTTTTCGTATCGGGTTCATAAAATTATCGAAGAAACGTATACGGTCTGCATCTCGCTCCGCCAAATATTTGATGAAGAAATTTCCCTGACTTAAAGATTGCAGTTCCCGATACTTGGTTCAGAACACCATCAGAGGTGTTGACTTCAAATCTGTAATGAAGGTTACTAGCGTGCAGCCTTCTTTATTGTTCGAAGATGAGAAGTTTTCGAAATGAATGAATGTGACGGTGAATAATCCAGCGAACCGTTGACTTAATGTAGGCGATGAAGTAAACAAGATCTAACCGTTTCAATCGGTAAACTTGTTGCAGATCTTTTTAGGCGCAGATAATCTTCACTGTAAGTTCTTTCTCCCCATCATATAGTGATGTATGCATAGACGTATGCATAGAAATTGGCTGAGATGTCCTACAAACTGAGATTACGATCGTTACACGAAATGACTTACAACAAAGGAGGTAAACTCTGTAGTCTATATAGTCAGTGACATATGCAAACGCAAGTTATATGGGGGGATATTCAAATGAGAATCAATGTCCTATTTTTGAAGAGTAAGGTTATAAGTGCTTGAAAAACGGAGATGACAAGATTGTCCCACTATTTGACAGTCCTGGGGAAAAATAAGTCTGAAAGGTAGAGGTTCGACATCTGGGGAAAGAAACCTGATAAGCTTGGCTGCCCGCCTGAGAACAAGATGAGCAATAAAAGGCCAAGGAGGGGGGAACCGCTGAAGCAATAGAAAAGAGAACGAAGCAACTGCCTGGTGATGGGGAGGTGACTACAGTTTGGAAGTTATGGGCGCTTCGTTGATCAGCCGAATGGCCTTAATTTGTGAGCATGATCGAGGAGAGAAAGACCGGAATACTAATCTCCATCCCATGCGTGACTGCAGTACTCGAGCATCGGGTGAATTTAAACTTTTATATAAGGAGAGGGTGCTTGGGTTTAAAGAAGCGTTTTGCAAAGAATAGAAAACTTACCTTTCGCGTAGCGCGAAAGGTGAGTGGAAATAAAAGGCGTCCAGCAGAGAGAAGAATTTATTGATGAACCTAAGAGGGAAAGAGAATCCGTAGAACGAAGAAGCAGCGAGTCAAAGGTCATTTGTTGAGAATAAGGGACGCGCATATGAGAGACGGATAGGAGAGAAGTCTTGAATGCATTGAAACACGTGGTTGGTGGAACCCCATGCGGAGATGAGTCTGAGATCGGAGGCAAGAGAAGCACTGATTACATTGCGATCGTGATCGATATTGTTAGTGGACAGACGGGTAAGAAGGATGACAACGGGGTGCGACATCATAGGCAAAGCAGTGAATGAGATTAGAGGTTTTGGAAAAAAGAATGTTGATAAACAGAAGGGAGAGGATGGGCGACAGTATGTAACCTTGAGAACACATGCATTCACAGAGAATGACCGAGATAGAATCCCATCGACTCGGACGGAGATGGTTCGCTTGCTGGGGAAACATTGAAGCCACGATGCGAGAGCACGTGAAATCCAAACTTTGGTACTTTCGACAGCAGACCTTCATTACAAACGCAATCGAAGACCTTTGAAATATCAAACGACACAATGTGAGTTAATCAGTGGTTGTCGAGTGCAGTTGACCAGGAATGCGATGTGAGCGCCAGTAGGTCACCTGTAGATCGATGAGGGCGAAATCCATTCATCAAGCGGCTTTCAGAAAACATGCGCAGCTGGCCGGAGATAACGGTTTCTAACACTTTCGAAACTACATACGTGAGAGAGATAGGACGATTGTCGTTGGGGTCCGAAGGACCATCGCACTTTGGAAGAAGAAGAAAATGGCATTTTGCCATTGGGTGGGGAAAGATTTCAGATTTATTGAAACAGAAAAGGTGGCGTAGAACAGCGACTAAATCTGGGGTACACATTTTCAAGATAATCGGTAGAATACCGTCTGGACCGGATAGTTCACAAACATCCAAACCACGAAGAACTTGGCGTACTCTTCTAGTTGTTATTATAGATAGAAAGGAGTGAGTGGATGTTTAGGAGGAAAAACAGTACGGTTGGAAGATCAGGTGGAATTGGAGGCAAACCGGGACGCAAAGACCTGCTTTTTCGTGGGGTTCATAAACAAGAGTTTAAAGGACAGAAATTACGTGAAACCGCTTTAGCTAGATACCAGAATGTTTGGTTGCCGGTAGCGGAAGCAGACAAGCGTGCAGCTTTGTGACGAATGAAGTGTTCTTTAGCTCTCCGTATGGCGAGCGAGCATTTGTTTCTGGCTTGCACGAAGCAGTTGTGGGATTCTGGATTGGGTGAGTGGCGCCAACGACGAAATGCTGAGTTTTAAAAACATACAGCACGGTTGTAAACATCCTTAAACCACTCTGATAATTATGGTTTGCCGTGTTTGGAAAAGTGAAATACAAAGTTACATATCCGAGTTGGCTGAATCTTAACGCTAAAAGATGCGTCTAGAGATAGTTGGTGAAACGAAGTGAGAAAAAAGAGTGAGAAAAAAGACGGGACAATAATGCGAGGAGCCTAATAGGAAAAGGAAGTGATGTTGGAGAAATAAGAGGGAGTGAAAGTAAGAGTGGGTCAAGGGTATGGGCGCGGCCACCAGTACGATCAGGGATGCGTGTATGGAGGTTAAGTAGCTTACTATGTTGTTGACCACAGCAAAAGCCTCGGCTTCGCGTTCGATGAACAGTGTCAGAGGAGTGCTTTAGCTATTCCTTGTTGTGGACATTGAAATTTCCGATAATGGCAATTTGGCTGTTAGGATCTACCGCCATTAGTGTCTCAATGTTGGAATATAGAATTTCACAATAGAAACACCGCTGCGGCTCGGGGAGCGGTAAACAGGACAAAAATAGTGGTCTAAGGAAGGGAACCGAAGTTTCAGTCACATGAACTGGAATTCATGGTTGGAGAAGTCCAGGTGCGCAAGTCGGGAAGAAGCCACAGAGTGGTGGATATCGGCGTATATACCAGCTTTCAGAAGAATGGAGGAAGTAATTAGGCAAATGAAAATGAGAAGTGTCTGATCAGGGAGAGGTTCAAGATTGGAGATTGATGTACAGAAATAACATTTCGATTCAAACTGCGTATGTTAGTGCAGGCTGTTGGGTGCTGTGAGTTCATAGTTAGTGCGCATTCTGTGTTTCATATAAGTTGTATTGTTCATTTTCGCACACATCTGAGTTCAGACTATGTCAAATAAATCACTGTACAACAACCTTTATAAGAAAAGGTCCATGAGGTGATCGTGGGCGCGATACTGCTAGGTTGCCCAGGCCAAAGCATGTAAATTTTCCTAGAGAATTCACAACCAGAGCCTTCGACTAACCAAAGCCTGACTCCAAAAGCTGCAAAGCAGTGTGCTAATCGCAATTCATTGGGAGCCGGTGTCCTGTTCATCGGATCATACGCTCTTTGTTCATTTGTAGTGTGGGAGAAGACCGGTAACCCAAGTGTGATACTTGGAGTGGTAAACCACATAAATCCTAAATAGGTTTAGTGTGGAACTGAACCGGATCACAGCAAAATGAACAGGATAACGGACAGCCATCTCCACCACACTGCTACGCAGCATCGCCAACAAGCAAGAAGGCTTCTGGTTCTGACCTTAGTTTTCTCCATCTCATATTCTCTAGAGGTAGTGGGTTCCGAAAAAAGTTTCTTTTCACAAATGCTTTAGAGACGTTTTATACGATGTATTGGTTTTAAATAGTTCGACGCATGATTAGTACCCGTATATGTGTGGAACAACAGATGCCAACTATCTAATAGTTAGATCAATCCAAAGATACAATCGTGTGCTTGGTCACAAATGGGCAATTTGTCGTGGCTAGATGTCTATGTTTGCTCTGTGACAATAACAAGTCAATCATTGTCGATTAAGATTGAAAATGCCTGATATTTTCCTTGATACGTTAGGAAGATGCGTCATCTGGATACGATTTTCAAAACGGCGCTCTGTTGCAAATTTATATTCGAAAAATGTCTATATCTCACTTTATACAATGTTGAGTGCATTTATCTATCTATTTATCTATCTATCTATCTCATTTATAGAAGCGTTGCAGACAATTTTGAAAACTGTTCTGCGAAAAGATATCGAATCACTCAGTGCTACCCCATTTGCCCTGGAAACGGAGGTCTGGCCAGTATTGTTTCGTCTACTTTACCAAATCGTGTCAATGCGTCAGTCCGTACGCATTCTTCTTTTCAATACAACACACAAAACAACATTTATTGAAAGCGTGCGATAAGATGCGTGATGAAGATTTGGTTCTGACCGGAATACGACTACAAGACAGAACCAGTTCGGCGGACACAGCGCAAAGTTTTAATATCGCACCGGCTTTGGGTCTAGTCGCCCCAGAGATTTTGGCGGAAGAGATCTCGTTGAAGGCCAAGGTGAACATACTATTCCTTCCCCACTAATGTAACGCTCCGTAATAAATTTAGGGGAATTGAATCTAAACTTTTTAGCTCAAGGACTGCAGGTGGTGTACTTTGTTGTTATCGTTATGGATCT